AGTGGGGGTCATAAATTATCTGTGGATTTCAGTTCTCTATGTCACTGCCTTTTACTTTAAAAAAGAATCATAAAACAACAGCCATTTGTTAATGGCCCTGTAGAGAAAGTGTACTTGGTGAAATTGAGAGTCAGGGCTTGAGGGATTCCTGAACAGTGCATGTGGCTTCTGGGACACTGGGAGAGAGATATTCCTCAGGTCTATCTATATGGGCATCATTCACAGCAAAGACTCTCTACCAGTTTCTCACAAGGCAAAAGGAGGATGGCCTATAGCCCTCCAAGAGATTTTGTGATGACAGTACCGACAGGCTAGAGCATTTCAAGAACCTGACCTGACAGTGGAGACCCATAGCCCGTATGACTACAATGCTGGGAACTGGATCAACACGCCCATCCTAGAATTTCCTCTTATTTGAGGCCTGTGGCATCTGAGTCCATGCTCCCTCGGACTGGATTTGACCTTTGTCTCCGGACGCATGGCATCAGCTGTGTTCTGAGAGCGCTCTGCAATCTGAGTGGCTTAGCCGGGGACAGGGATGGCTCTACTTCACTGAGTTCGAAGAAATATGTTTCCGTATTGGAAAGTCTAATTATGCTCTTTGCAACCTGTCCTCTACTGTAAAGAATGGGGGGTAGATTTGTCTCTGGGAAAAAAATGAAGGTGGGGTTACCCCAAGAACTAGTTTGTGGCCTGTCTTACCTATCAGCCTTGTCTCCACTAAGTGGCTAGAATAAACAGGGAATGGGTGCTGGTGTGGTGCACGCAGCTTCTAACCCTAAATGCCTTCCTTGACATTGCTGAAGTCATATAGGAGGGTTGGTAGCCCCACCTCTCAGACATCACAGATGCCAGTGGAAAGAATACTCTGACAATATGGTACCAGAATCAGCTGGCCCTTTGGGGCACATCATTAAAAACCTGTTCCAGCATGTGCACTTACTCCATCTCTGCCTTCCCAGCCTTCCAGGGGCCCTTTCCCACAGTTGCTTCCACCTAGATCTGCCCTCACTTTCATCTTTGCTGCTCCAGATCTGAGAAGTTCATCAAGTGTCAACCCAAGTGTGGATTCAGCTAAGACAGGAGAGCCCCATTATATTTAAGAGGGCTTGTACTTGGCCCTGTTAACGTATTAGACCTACAGACAATTCAGTGTCTTCAACCAGGAATTCTCACTGATTATAAATGAAGGCTGAATTCCCCAAATGCCACTGGGTGGGAAGCGGCCGATTGCGCATGGGAAGCCATGTCCCGAAGGGGGCCGTCACTCTCATGAGTGACAGTGGACTAGAGTCCATTTTTCCTGCTGTAGCTGAAGTCGGCCTCGTCAAGCTGGGACTCTGCAATGTCTGAGAGTTTCGTGTGCGTCCTCCCGATCTCCTCAAGGGCACAGGCCAGGGAGTCGAGGTCACCGTCCTGCTGATGGCGGGCTTCCCACAGGTTCAAAATGACGGCAGATGGGCTACTTTGTGTAGCAAAATAAGATAAATTCCTAGATAGAGTTGAAATAAAAATAGCAAAACAAAAAATGAAAATAGAAATAAAGGAACAAATAAAAGTCACTGTAAGGGAATTAATAATGAATTGTAAGGGATATTGTTATAATGGAAGTAGAAAGGGCCTCCAGGGCAGGTCTGCGGGCAGCCTGGTTTGCATTCTAACACTGAACGAAAACTGGACTTTGTACCCCTATCTGAGACCTTCCTGTCCTCCAAAGGCTCACCTACCTTGAGGTGGATGTGTGCATGAGTGCATGCGTGTGTGTGAGCGTGCGCACGTGCATTTCCCTCCTGATCAGCCCCTTGAACAGTTCCTCATGAGCTCATGTATGATGTATCATTCCCATTCTTTTTCAAAAATCTGACCCCTTTCTATCTCTCCCTTGGTAAATGTAGGGCTGTCAAGGTTTTATCTCTGATTTCTTCTGTTTTTCCTCTGTGGGCTCATGTCCTAAATGGAGTGGTCAGTGTCTCTGCCCCTCCACTCATGCGGGTTCATGTGAGCTGGTTACAGATTGCCAAGTGACCTTTGGATTGCTGCAGTCACATCTCTCTCCACCTCCTCAAACTTGGTGCGTCAGAAGTGCATGCGGTCTCCATGCTTCCAGACTGGCCTCCCTTCCAGCTGAAACAAGTATCCCAGTAATTAGAACTGTCCTAACCTCTCACACTAGGGTATTTAATTTGACTCTTCCCTGTATGTTGTTTCTTTCTTTCTGACGTACTCATCGGCTCCATCCCTCCCCTTCATTCATACTGCTTGTGTTCAATTTATGCTCAACCGTTTTATGGCCTGGACCACAGAGCAAAGGTCTTTTAGCTCTTTGTGCTTCCAGACTCTCTAAAACACCTCGCATTGGATTTCTTCAGTCACCAGGTGTTACTCTCTTGTTCTCAGTGCCTGCTTCGGTCTGGCCTCCACCTAGCCATGTGCTGTATATTTTACTCTGTCTTCGTTTGCCTTTTGAGCCTTTAATGCTGGTTTAGGCAACACTTCACTTCTTGCTTTCATTCAGTCTAGTCTGTCCCCTAGGAATGCTCACTTCCTCTCTTTATCCTCTATTTATCAAGATCCTACACTCCTACAATGCCTGGTTCAATCCCTGTCTCCTCTTTGCTGAAAATGATTTATTTCTTCTCTGAACTCATTCTATGCTTGTGCTTAAATTTTCATGTGAGTAAAGCAGGCTTATGTATTTCATGTGTGTGAGTTTTGCCTTCCCAGTGTGATTACAGGCACCAGAAGGGAAAGGATCCTAGCTAATAATTTTCTGATTCTGCAGCAGCGCTTATCATAATACTCTTGACGGGTGCTTATTCAGTATCCACCCTCTGAGTAATTGATTGCTGTGAGCTTTTTTCAGATGATAGGAGATCTTTGGTGAAAACAAATGGTAACCTTTTAGACAATAACTTTGCTAAGCTGAAGACTAAGACGGCAGCAAAAGATTAAAGGTCACAGTTTTTCATAGGTGACATACACTGGGGAGAGAAATGTCACCTCTGGTAAAATTCTGATGAGTTGAAAAGATTTTCCAGAGTCAACCAAGAAGTGCCAATTTTGAGAAGGCACTATGTTCATCACCACACTCAGCAAATAATGACAAAGTTGTCTCATGTAGCTAAGAGCACTTGGAAGAGAAGACACACTTTTAAGGGCACATCACCATTTACAGGCACCACACATGCACACACAGTAGTTCTGAGTGAATAAAGTTCTATTTTAGTCCAAGGTCTAACGGGACTGCCTAAAGCTAGTTGGTTGCCAAACATCATAAATATCATGGCTGTCAGCATAAATACAATAGAAAGCTGATCTTTCCCATAACTTCTGGATCTTTACTTGACAAGGGGAGATGGTCGGCTTAAGAATGTCCTCTCTAGTTTCTTAATCTTTCCTTCCTTCCTTCTGTTCTTCAACCCCTCTGGCCCTGGAATGAAACAGAGTTATTTCTACTCTAATAGAAATGGCAAAGCAAACCTTGCTCGGGCAGCTGAAGGACCCTAGCTGCTCTTAAATTTTAAGAACTTTGTTTTGAATATTGCCACTCCTTCCTGGTCATGTGCAGATCTTTGTAGAAAAAGTTGCCCTATCTCCAGGTCTATAAATAAATTGTCATACCCCAGTGAGCATTCAGGCAGAACACCCTGCAGGGGGAGCTGAGAAAAGCGAACTGAGAGACTAGGTCTGAGCGGATGCCGGTGGGTGGGCTGTGCGACAAACCCTTAAGTGTCCTTCAGCGGAAAAACCATCATGGATGTAACACTTGTCTCTGGCATGTGTAAATAATTCTTTATGCTGTCCAATGTTGCTTAAAAAAGAGAAGCACGAACAGCAAGCACAACAATAAAAGCAGATTTCTCATTATTCTCCTGAGGATTTATATTTTGTATTTGCTCTTGAACAACAATGAACTAGTGTCCTGGGAGTGGCTAGAATCCCTGTGATTTTATTAACCCAAAAGTTATACTTAATTCTATCCCAGGGTTTGACAAATTATTTCTGTAAAGACCAGAGTACATAGTTTTTACTTTAGGGGTCACAAATGGTCTCTAAAGGAGCTCCTTGACTCTGCCCTGGTAGTGTGGAAGCAGCCAGAGACAAAACCTAAATAAATGAGCGTGGCTGTGTTCCAATAAAACTTTATTTAGATACACCATAACTTGAACATACTATAGTTTCCACATGTCACTCTTCTTTGGATTTTTTTTTCTCCCCTGACCACTTAGAATTCTAAAACCATTCCAGCTCCTGGGCTACAGAAAAGCAGGTGGTGGAGCAGCGTCAGCCTGTAGGCCACAGTGCTGATCCCTGTCCATGTTGTCTTACGACTCCAACTAGATTTCCAGAGATGGCAGCTATTCGAAGGAAGATTAAACTGAACTTTCTGTGCTGNTTCTTTGCTCTAACCACATAATTCTGAAATTCTTGGGGCCCAGTCATACTGATTTACCTAGTTACTTAGAGCCAATTCTCATTCTACCACTGACTTAAATATATTTTCATCAGCTTTAAAGTGTTGCCTAACTTAAAATGGTAAGAAAGAAGACTTGGAACCCCTCACAGACCCTTTGTGGCTCTTCATACCCACCCGAAGGTCCCATTGTTGACCCAAAAAAGAATTACATGGCTAAATAAGTTTAGGAAACATTGCACCTACTCCTTAAAGATCCGTATACATTTGCTCCAGCACACACAGGAAGGATTTCAGAAATCTAGAGAATGGTGTTTACTTTATTCCACAGCTTTCCAAACTTAATTTGAAAAACAAAAACCTGTTATATTTCTATGGATATGGTATTTTGCTTCAAAAAAAAAAAACAACCCTGAATTTGGAGAAGACTGGTTTAAACCAATTTTGACCTTTGAGTTTCCTATTTAAACTAGTTGGTTTTAAATTATCTTTGAGAAGATCACTGTTTAAACTGGCTCTGACCAGCTCTAAGTAGTTACTAAATTAACTTTAGCATTTTAAAAACCATGTGAAACATTTAATTAGTCAAGACATTGAAATGTGCGATATTGTACTTATTTTCTTAACAGTTTCCCATGGAGAGGCAGGAAATTTTTCTGTTCAAGTGTCTGTTAAAAAAAGAAAACAAACAAACAAAAAGAAGCATTTTGAGCAATAAGGTGAATGGTCAACCAATTATATAGTATGTATGGCTGGGATTATCTCAGAGTGTATGCAGATACATTCCAAAGACAGGTGGTGTGTGTGCGTGCGCACGCACGCATGCGCACGCGCACGTGTTGGGATGGGTTAGGAATAGATCATCTCATTCTTGCTCCCCATAGCCTGGTCGTGTCTCATTCTTGAGGCCAGAAAGAGCAAGTTCAATATGCCACCAGGACTTTAGAAACCGTCCTTGATGCGCAGGGCATCCCTGCCCCTGCCAGGACGTGGCAGGAGGTCTGTAGAGGGATTCCTCATTGGGATTTCAAAGTTCCACTCATGGAGTATCCTAAAATGTCAATAAAAGACTCTTTATTCATAAATAACTGATAGGCAGTAATTTGCGTCTGTACATTTATCTTGAAAAGTCTGTAACCATCCAGTTTTTTTTTTCAAACTCTACATAAAACATCCAAACTGTTCATTTTGTTCAATACAATATAACACAGCTGTTTGGCATTACCAAATATATATGTATATATATTTATAGATATGTACATGTGCTGAAAAAAGAAGCCGGTGCAGCCTTTTCTAAGAAGTCCACCCAAATATTTACTGTACAACATTCAGAATTTACATTGATAATACAAGGCACAGAAAGTGTGGTATGAAGCCAAGGCCATGCTTTATTTAAAATCGCTCCTCTGGCTTGTCACTCCTTCAGCTTCATGTCAAATGAAGTGTTCGCTTTTTGTTTTTTGTGGGTTTTTTTTTCAGCTTTGAAACACATCAAATAGAAGTCGGGAGTGGTATGGGTTTGAGATATGAATCACTTGAAAGAGCCACCCTCCCCCACCACATGCCTTCCCAAATTAAATAGGACAATATAAAATCTGTTTAAAAATTCTTCCATACAGAAATGGAGGTAAACAATTATTCATTAAGTTTTGGGTCTGGGTTAGGAAAATAAGCCAGTTGTTCTCTAACTGCATCTATTTGTAATATTCATAGGTTGACCCTTACTTTTTATTACATGTACCAATTAGAATTAGTCATCAAGAATGGGACATTTTTAATCCATCTTTATTCCAGTTTAGAACAGGAGAAAATTGTTTTCCTGACCAGGAAAATTCCCTCAGACTGACTTTTCCCACCTTCCTCTGGAGAAATTTGGAGCGGGAGTGGCTCACGATCTTAGGCCTTGGAGCGTTTCTGGGTGAAATTTTTAAGTTGCCCTCTGATGAAGCCTAGCCGAAGGCCCCTGGTAAAGAGTGACTCCCTTCAGTGTGGGAGCTAACGGAGGGAAATCAGAGCTGTCGGACCTGTTTCTGATTGTAATGTCTGTTCAGTGATGAGGTCAGAAGGCATGATATTCTGCTTTGCGAACTTCCCTCAAATACCATCCGTACTTTTCATGATTCAACAGAGCCACAATTAAACCTCTACCTACAGTATCTATCCGATTTTAAGGGCATTGTAGAATTTGTCCAGTTTGGGAATTTGTATGTATATAATGCTTGAAATAATGAAATACTTCTGGGGTTAGCAAAATTTGAGGCAAAAGGACATTTTCATTGTAATCATGCCTTTTGTAAAAGTATTTAACACACATTTCTACTCATGCAAGAATTACATTACCGAATTTAGGGATATTTTATAATTCAAGGCTGTAACATTTCGGGGAAAAAAGATGTACCCCCTGCCAAAATCAGTATTAGGGGAGGGAGGAGGACATTTTTTTAAGCTTAGGCCTAAACATGAAGCTTACTGCCTTTTTTATCTTTGGGTTCAGATGGAGGGTGGGATCTAAGACATGACATTCAATGTTACTGTCTTAGGCCCACCTCATGAAGACATTCCGAATCCATGATCTTCACAACAAAAGGAAAAAGCAAAGTAGTTGCTTCAAAAACCACAATTATTCTATGTGAGTTAAATTTCCTACTTCAGATCACAGTACTACACACTAGTGACTAATGGCCAGGTCTGACTTCCATCCCCTTTTATCTCTTGAGAAAAATACAGCATACAAATTGCCATCTCGATCTTGTTGACCCTGCATTTGGGGATGTGAGGAGTCCGTGTTAGACACCGGCTCTCTTAGAATTGCTTTAGCAGAAACATCACATGCTGTCAATACCGCCAAACAGCTTTATAACTGCAGCTTTTCAAAGAGTTTCAAAAGTAAAAACACAAAATATGCAACACGCCTAAAGTCAGTTAACATTTTCACTTTGTGACATTTGACAAAATACATTTTTGCTTGTATCTCAGGAAAATTCTATGCAGACAAAACAGAGGAAACTGCAGAAACGGTGGCCATTCAGCTTTTGGCTAAAGCATTGATTTTTCAAATATGGTGCTGTGGCAACTAACACCAAAGGGCTACTAAAATTTTGTCACTGTCTGTAGGACAACATTTTGCTCTCCCACTTGCTGTGGCTGTCACCTCTAGTCCTGTCAGTGGGAGTTACTACGGATTCAGAACTTTGCAATGTTTCATGAGGAAAATGAATGAAAATGGGCCACACAATGGGCCAGACTCGTTCCTCAGCTCCTTCCCGGTTCCTGTGACCTTCACAGATCTGGAAGAAAGACCTCAGAGAGAAGGTCCCTTTCAATGTATCTGACAGTTTTGTTATTCAACACCTTTACAGAGGGACCAAGAAACTTGAGACAGAGCGGTAGAAAGGGGAAAAACAAAAGCACACCAAACACTTGTATAACATTTTGAAATTCACAGGTAAATCTGCCAGAAGTTTGGCAAGTGGAGAATACTACCGAAAACCAATTACGGGTGGTCCCTGACTTTCGACGGCTCGACTTAACAATATTTCAACTTAATGATGGGGCAAAAGTGATATGCATTTAGAAGAAACCATACTTCCAATTTTGAGTTTCTATCTTTTCCTGGGCTGGGGAGATGTGGTAGGCTTGTCTCTCGTGACGGGAACCAGCTGCAGCTCCAGTTGGCCTTGTGATCACGAGGGAAATAGCCATTCTGTATCCACAGAACCACTGTTTTTCACTTTCAGTAAAGCATTCAGTAAGTTACGGGAGATACTCAATACTCTATTATAAAGTAAGCTTTGTGCTAGATGATCTTGCTCAAGTGTAGGCAATTGTAAGTGTTCTGAGCATGTTTAAGGTAGGCTGGGCTGAGATATAATGGATGTTCTGTAGGTTAGCTGTATTAAATACATTTCAACTTACAATATTTTTCAATTTACGAGTTTATCAAGATGTAACCCCACCATAAGTTGAGGAAGATCTGTATACCATTTTAATATTCTACCTTTGCTTATCAATCCTGATGTTGAGAATTTCTTTCAAGGAAAATAGCTGCAATAAATCCAGAACTTTTAATCCAAAAGGAACCCTATTTAGTGATCTGAGTTAGCATCCCCTCTCAGAGTCAATTGAAAGAAAAATACAGGGACCATGGCAAGGGATAACACCTGCAGCTGGAGACAAAAATAATAATAAAAAAGGAAAGTTCCCCTCTTTAAAGAGAACTGTGTCAATTCCTATTCATCTCTTACAAAAAAGGCCAATAAAATTTTTGTGGGAGTACATCTGAGTTTTATGAGACTTTCTGCACCGGTAAATGAAGTTTGCATTTAAATCCATGGAGTGAGCTTCCTTTTGGCATAAAGGATTTTAATGGAAACCAGTAAGACTGCACAGGCAATGTTGTAAAAACTGTAAATTAACTTTATGATGCTGCAGTCTGAGAAAGCTGTGAAGTACACCATTTTGGTGGCATAATGTTAAAGTATGACTATTAGACTTAAATGCCTTTGAGGACTGAAAAGGTCTGGCACTCAGTGGGATATTTTGTAAATACCATAATTGACCTACCAAGTATTAAGGGCCACTTTTAATTTCTTGGTTCATTTTGCACTAGGACAAGACTTCTAGTCTTCTAAACACTTGGATGGCAGACTGAATCTCTTTCAAGAGGGGCATTTGTGTGTAATGGGAACAAGGGCTTAGGTACCAGTAAGTGACCTTAGGAAGCTCAAGTATCAGCTAAGTCTATGTGATATGCAATTTCACATGCCCCCCTGCCACACACACTTGTTCCTTGGCCTATAAATCTCACAAACCTGGGTTCTCTTTGGAATTCTTTTGCAAGATACTGCCCATTCCTGACATGCAGTGGACACAGAATTTTATACATGTCTGTGGAATGCAAGCAGAAATAAGAGAGAAATGTAAAGAGGGAAAGAAAGGGACCAAAAGGTGGATTTGAACCTTGGGCTGAAATCAAAGGTGAATCATGTTAATTCGTTTCCTTGGAAACATAGTATGATATGATTGAGTGCACTTATAAAACTCCATCCCAAAGAAAACAAAAATCCACCGGAGGAAATTCCAGACATTCAAGGATTGATAATCACCTCTAATCTTAAAATAATCTAGATATATTTAAAGGAAAGCATAATTTTCCATCTGTTTTAAAATATAAAAGACATTATCAAAAATCTAAAAAGGATCTGTGTGGATTCACAGAATAATATATAACAATTCTAAGGCCCATACGGAAGAGTGAAAAGGTAGGAAGGTTTTAAAAACAAAAGTCCTCCCAGATGGATACTAACAAAAGCTCTATAATGTGTTTTCTGCAAGTTATTGTTCAACAGTGAATGCAGATTCTTTCTGCATACCACCTGTGCCAAATCAACTGTTTATTTTGGGTGATTGACCATCTACTTCCATTTCTTTTTCTTTGAGAAATTCTATCAGGGATGTCAAACGTTTTAGACTTTCATGCTTTGTCTCTGTTGCTCTCTGGAAGGGTGTCTTTCTGACCTAGATATGGTATTGTGAAAATATGCCTGATGGTTCTAAGAGGATTTGTTTTCTATGTAATATATGCCTTTGGTTCCTGAGAAAAGCAAGACTCTTTTGAATTTCACGCAGCAAAGCCTTCTATCAAATACAGGGGGCCATACGTACCATTACAGAAAATGGCGAGCACATTCAAGTGTTCTTCCGTGCCTTACCCACGATACCATAAATTCAACCTATCTTTAGGTCATTTTCACTTAGGTGGGGATTCACATTTTTTTTTACGTGGGATTTACAAAAATGTTAAAGAAAAATTGATTGTATTCCCATGGCCAAGACTCCCCATTTTCTCCATTTCCCGACTATTTTTACTTTTGTTCTAACGTAGCTCCTAGGTAGCTAATCAGCCTCGTGGTTAATGTCATTCCTTGATTTCGGGTGTCCGGACTGTGGGCAGATAATTGACACGGCCACCAGAGGGCGGGCGGGAGCAGACCTGATCATCCCTGGTGTACCAGGACATCTTGTCACATGATTTAGTAGGATAAAAGAGGGAGTAAAGGGTTAAAGTGGGGGTCATAAATTATCTGTGGATTTCAGTTCTCTATGTCACTGCCTTTTACTTTAAAAAAGAATCATAAAACAACAGCCATTTGTTAATGGCCCTGTAGAGAAAGTGTACTTGGTGAAATTGAGAGTCAGGGCTTGAGGGATTCCTGAACAGTGCATGTGGCTTCTGGGACACTGGGAGAGAGATATTCCTCAGGTCTATCTATATGGGCATCATTCACAGCAAAGACTCTCTACCAGTTTCTCACAAGGCAAAAGGAGGATGGCCTATAGCCCTCCAAGAGATTTTGTGATGACAGTACCGACAGGCTAGAGCATTTCAAGAACCTGACCTGACAGTGGAGACCCATAGCCCGTATGACTACAATGCTGGGAACTGGATCAACACGCCCATCCTAGAATTTCCTCTTATTTGAGGCCTGTGGCATCTGAGTCCATGCTCCCTCGGACTGGATTTGACCTTTGTCTCCGGACGCATGGCATCAGCTGTGTTCTGAGAGCGCTCTGCAATCTGAGTGGCTTAGCCGGGGACAGGGATGGCTCTACTTCACTGAGTTCGAAGAAATATGTTTCCGTATTGGAAAGTCTAATTATGCTCTTTGCAACCTGTCCTCTACTGTAAAGAATGGGGGGTAGATTTGTCTCTGGGAAAAAAATGAAGGTGGGGTTACCCCAAGAACTAGTTTGTGGCCTGTCTTACCTATCAGCCTTGTCTCCACTAAGTGGCTAGAATAAACAGGGAATGGGTGCTGGTGTGGTGCACGCAGCTTCTAACCCTAAATGCCTTCCTTGACATTGCTGAAGTCATATAGGAGGGTTGGTAGCCCCACCTCTCAGACATCACAGATGCCAGTGGAAAGAATACTCTGACAATATGGTACCAGAATCAGCTGGCCCTTTGGGGCACATCATTAAAAACCTGTTCCAGCATGTGCACTTACTCCATCTCTGCCTTCCCAGCCTTCCAGGGGCCCTTTCCCACAGTTGCTTCCACCTAGATCTGCCCTCACTTTCATCTTTGCTGCTCCAGATCTGAGAAGTTCATCAAGTGTCAACCCAAGTGTGGATTCAGCTAAGACAGGAGAGCCCCATTATATTTAAGAGGGCTTGTACTTGGCCCTGTTAACGTATTAGACCTACAGACAATTCAGTGTCTTCAACCAGGAATTCTCACTGATTATAAATGAAGGCTGAATTCCCCAAATGCCACTGGGTGGGAAGCGGCCGATTGCGCATGGGAAGCCATGTCCCGAAGGGGGCCGTCACTCTCATGAGTGACAGTGGACTAGAGTCCATTTTTCCTGCTGTAGCTGAAGTCGGCCTCGTCAAGCTGGGACTCTGCAATGTCTGAGAGTTTCGTGTGCGTCCTCCCGATCTCCTCAAGGGCACAGGCCAGGGAGTCGAGGTCACCGTCCTGCTGATGGCGGGCTTCCCACAGGTTCAAAATGACGGCAGATGGGCTACTTTGTGTAGCAAAATAAGATAAATTCCTAGATAGAGTTGAAATAAAAATAGCAAAACAAAAAATGAAAATAGAAATAAAGGAACAAATAAAAGTCACTGTAAGGGAATTAATAATGAATTGTAAGGGATATTGTTATAATGGAAGTAGAAAGGGCCTCCAGGGCAGGTCTGCGGGCAGCCTGGTTTGCATTCTAACACTGAACGAAAACTGGACTTTGTACCCCTATCTGAGACCTTCCTGTCCTCCAAAGGCTCACCTACCTTGAGGTGGATGTGTGCATGAGTGCATGCGTGTGTGTGAGCGTGCGCACGTGCATTTCCCTCCTGATCAGCCCCTTGAACAGTTCCTCATGAGCTCATGTATGATGTATCATTCCCATTCTTTTTCAAAAATCTGACCCCTTTCTATCTCTCCCTTGGTAAATGTAGGGCTGTCAAGGTTTTATCTCTGATTTCTTCTGTTTTTCCTCTGTGGGCTCATGTCCTAAATGGAGTGGTCAGTGTCTCTGCCCCTCCACTCATGCGGGTTCATGTGAGCTGGTTACAGATTGCCAAGTGACCTTTGGATTGCTGCAGTCACATCTCTCTCCACCTCCTCAAACTTGGTGCGTCAGAAGTGCATGCGGTCTCCATGCTTCCAGACTGGCCTCCCTTCCAGCTGAAACAAGTATCCCAGTAATTAGAACTGTCCTAACCTCTCACACTAGGGTATTTAATTTGACTCTTCCCTGTATGTTGTTTCTTTCTTTCTGACGTACTCATCGGCTCCATCCCTCCCCTTCATTCATACTGCTTGTGTTCAATTTATGCTCAACCGTTTTATGGCCTGGACCACAGAGCAAAGGTCTTTTAGCTCTTTGTGCTTCCAGACTCTCTAAAACACCTCGCATTGGATTTCTTCAGTCACCAGGTGTTACTCTCTTGTTCTCAGTGCCTGCTTCGGTCTGGCCTCCACCTAGCCATGTGCTGTATATTTTACTCTGTCTTCGTTTGCCTTTTGAGCCTTTAATGCTGGTTTAGGCAACACTTCACTTCTTGCTTTCATTCAGTCTAGTCTGTCCCCTAGGAATGCTCACTTCCTCTCTTTATCCTCTATTTATCAAGATCCTACACTCCTACAATGCCTGGTTCAATCCCTGTCTCCTCTTTGCTGAAAATGATTTATTTCTTCTCTGAACTCATTCTATGCTTGTGCTTAAATTTTCATGTGAGTAAAGCAGGCTTATGTATTTCATGTGTGTGAGTTTTGCCTTCCCAGTGTGATTACAGGCACCAGAAGGGAAAGGATCCTAGCTAATAATTTTCTGATTCTGCAGCAGCGCTTATCATAATACTCTTGACGGGTGCTTATTCAGTATCCACCCTCTGAGTAATTGATTGCTGTGAGCTTTTTTCAGATGATAGGAGATCTTTGGTGAAAACAAATGGTAACCTTTTAGACAATAACTTTGCTAAGCTGAAGACTAAGACGGCAGCAAAAGATTAAAGGTCACAGTTTTTCATAGGTGACATACACTGGGGAGAGAAATGTCACCTCTGGTAAAATTCTGATGAGTTGAAAAGATTTTCCAGAGTCAACCAAGAAGTGCCAATTTTGAGAAGGCACTATGTTCATCACCACACTCAGCAAATAATGACAAAGTTGTCTCATGTAGCTAAGAGCACTTGGAAGAGAAGACACACTTTTAAGGGCACATCACCATTTACAGGCACCACACATGCACACACAGTAGTTCTGAGTGAATAAAGTTCTATTTTAGTCCAAGGTCTAACGGGACTGCCTAAAGCTAGTTGGTTGCCAAACATCATAAATATCATGGCTGTCAGCATAAATACAATAGAAAGCTGATCTTTCCCATAACTTCTGGATCTTTACTTGACAAGGGGAGATGGTCGGCTTAAGAATGTCCTCTCTAGTTTCTTAATCTTTCCTTCCTTCCTTCTGTTCTTCAACCCCTCTGGCCCTGGAATGAAACAGAGTTATTTCTACTCTAATAGAAATGGCAAAGCAAACCTTGCTCGGGCAGCTGAAGGACCCTAGCTGCTCTTAAATTTTAAGAACTTTGTTTTGAATATTGCCACTCCTTCCTGGTCATGTGCAGATCTTTGTAGAAAAAGTTGCCCTATCTCCAGGTCTATAAATAAATTGTCATACCCCAGTGAGCATTCAGGCAGAACACCCTGCAGGGGGAGCTGAGAAAAGCGAACTGAGAGACTAGGTCTGAGCGGATGCCGGTGGGTGGGCTGTGCGACAAACCCTTAAGTGTCCTTCAGCGGAAAAACCATCATGGATGTAACACTTGTCTCTGGCATGTGTAAATAATTCTTTATGCTGTCCAATGTTGCTTAAAAAAGAGAAGCACGAACAGCAAGCACAACAATAAAAGCAGATTTCTCATTATTCTCCTGAGGATTTATATTTTGTATTTGCTCTTGAACAACAATGAACTAGTGTCCTGGGAGTGGCTAGAATCCCTGTGATTTTATTAACCCAAAAGTTATACTTAATTCTATCCCAGGGTTTGACAAATTATTTCTGTAAAGACCAGAGTACATAGTTTTTACTTTAGGGGTCACAAATGGTCTCTAAAGGAGCTCCTTGACTCTGCCCTGGTAGTGTGGAAGCAGCCAGAGACAAAACCTAAATAAATGAGCGTGGCTGTGTTCCAATAAAACTTTATTTAGATACACCATAACTTGAACATACTATAGTTTCCACATGTCACTCTTCTTTGGATTTTTTTTTCTCCCCTGACCACTTAGAATTCTAAAACCATTCCAGCTCCTGGGCTACAGAAAAGCAGGTGGTGGAGCAGCGTCAGCCTGTAGGCCACAGTGCTGATCCCTGTCCATGTTGTCTTACGACTCCAACTAGATTTCCAGAGATGGCAGCTATTCGAAGGAAGATTAAACTGAACTTTCTGTGCTGTGTTTGAAAACAAGCACACAGAGGGCAAAAGCCGCTGAATCCCAAGCCATTGATCCTGCCTGCAGCCCCAGAGAGCTTTATCCTCAGTATGCGTTCAGGGATCTTTGACCTTCCAAAACAAGACAGGAAGGCCTGGGCGTAAGAATGCACTAATAAAACTGTAGGAGAGGCACACAGAATATGCTTTGGAGGTTTGATGAGTCTTTGTCCCAGTACAATATTAAACATATTCATGAATCCATGGGGGCGGGGGTGGGTCTTATAAGTACACCTGCCTGGAGGCTGCAGAATGACTTGTCAGCCACTCGGGTCTGAAAAGTCCTGCAAATGTCCTGAATAGGCACCCAGGGCTAAAGGAAGCTAAGTGATCAAAGAGGCAGAAATATAACTCTCACTTGGCACACGCCTCTGAACATACTGGAGCGAGTGAAATGTGCTCTCTAAAGCATGTTTTGGTTTTATTCTCTGAATTCATACAGGCACACTCAGCATATCACAGATCTCAAATTCCACTTAATTAGTAGATACATATAAGGGCATATTAGCCTTACTGAAAATGATTCAATCAGCATTAAGATAAACAGACACCCTATTAACTACATTTACCTGTCTACACCAGAATAATTAATATATACAAGAAGGTAAAATTCTACTGCAGTAAGCTACTCCCCAAAGACAGTTGAATTATTTTACTGCTTACATGTATACAAATGTATTATGATTTTTTGAGAATTGGTATACCATTTGGTTATCTCCATGCTGCCCCTTGATCATAAACAGAAATTATTCTGATCCCAACCCCTAGGACCCATTTCTCTTCCTAATATTGCTGGTGCATTTGGACACCAGACAGGTGCACATACAGTTCAGGGCATATTGTAACTATTAGAAAATATAATTCAAAGCAATAGTTGATTTTAAGCAATTTCCCGAGTGACTTTGATTTTGCCTCTTTGGAAAGGAAATCAGAACATTTAGCAAAAGCAGTAGTCCTGAGATCCAGGTAGATGCATCAAAATACAGCTTATTTTTTTTCTTTCTCTTTCAAAAAACATTTTAAGATGTGAATGTTTATTATGCTGGTTGTAGTTGCTTCAGATTGTAACATTTTATGCCCTGAACTTGGGGAAACTTTTGGTCATAGTGTTTTTAAATTCCGAACCACACAGGTAATTTTGAAAAATAACATCTATTTTTCTCGGTGTGAATGATGCAGATGAGATTATCTGTGCTCTATATTGTAGGAATCTACTTTAGAATCCTTTTATGTTATCAGATCAATTCATTTGCCCTAAACCCCACAGACTCAAATGACTTAATCTTTTCCTTTGAAACTCTCCCTGAAAGAATACAGATAAACTCTTTAAAAAAAAAAAAATGCTAAGACAGCTGAGTACATTTTTCCATCTAAGTTCAGTGAGTAGTAATGGTTTATTGAATTTAATTTTCTTTTGTTGAGCGTACATGCTTTCTCTTCACCTGTGTTCCAGGAGGGGTTTGTTTCATTACCATGATTAATTTAATCTTTCTGAGACTTCCCTGTCCCTGTCCCCAATTAAAATCCCATGCTTTATGCAGATGGCAGGACAGAATTGGGCACATGAATCTTTACCTTCCCAACTTCACTAGCTAGACACAGGCCAGCTTATAATAGTGCTGCATGTGGGTCAAAACTGAACTGTTACATAGGATCTCAGTTTTCAGAATACATCTTCAAATTAATGACTATATTAAACCAATAATGGAAGTTTTATTTCATCTGAGGATCTCTGCAAACAATCACTGTGCCTTCTGTTCACTTTTCTTGGGGTACAAAGAGGCGGGGAGAATTGAGGGACAGTGATGAGATTTTGCCATTATAACATCTTTATATACTGTTGCAACACTGGGCAATGTTTTTGAGAAGGAAACGTGGCTAGTGCCCACTCAGTGTGAATTTAGAAATACCCACCCTTTGTTTGGTACTTGAAAGCAGCATGCAAGTACAGATGTCCTAGTGAATAGTACCGTCTAAACCCTCCTGCAGGTAACAGAGATGAGAGGGCAGTAATGGCAGCAGGCACAGGTCTGAGGCTCCTAAGGGCCCTGGGATTGCAT